CTGGAGGGCTTCTAGTTTCTAAGTATTCTAGTTTCTCACTGTTAAGTATGATGTTCAGGTGTAGGTTTTTTGCACAAGTCCTTTATCAAGTTGAGGAAGTTCCCCTGTATTCCTACTTTGCTGAGAATTTTTATCATGAATGGGTATTGGATTCTGTCATGTATCATGTGATATGATCGTGTGATTTTTATTCTTTAGCTTGTTGGTATGATTGCATTATTTGGAAACGGGCATTTGTTAAACTATGCTATGGTACATGCCTATAACAAAATATAATTCTATCATGATTTTTTAGAACATATGACAATGTGGAATGTTATTTGTGATCACCTCAAAAAAAAAAAACCCCCAAAGTCGTATATCTTATAGAATAAGATATACAATATGATCACAGTTCATTTTAAAAACTAGTATATGAAAAAAAATGACACATGCAAGGAAATATGTATGTGCATAACACAAAAGGCCTTGTAGGATTTATACCAAAATATCTAAAGCAACGGGCTACGCTGGGTTAGAGAAGCCTCTCCGGTAGCTGGTAACAAGCCAACGTGAAGTAAAGCAAAAAGGGTCATTTGACTTGTAACGTCTAGAAAAGGCAAATCTATAGAGACAGAAAACAGATTGGTGGTCGTCCGGGCTGGGGCAGGAGTGGGGGACTGACTGCAAATGAGCACCAGGGGCCTCTCTGGCCCCATGTTCTACAACTGGATTGAGTGGTAACTCCCTAAATCTACTAAAAACCACTGAATTGTACACTTAAAATTGGTGAATTTTATAGTATGCAAATTACACCTCCATAAAACTTTAAAAAGGAGGGATGATTTACTATAAAATGGGATGGATGTAAGGGGAAGCCTTCCCCAATCCTGAGGGGGAGCCTCAGCCAGCCTCAGGGAGAGGCCTCACCAGAAATCTATCTGAAACTGTCTCAACCCTTCCTGTTCTCTAGACTGGCCCACAAACAAAACAAAAAACCGTGGCCACCTAGAGCTCCTGCATGCACTCTGGCCACGAGGAATGCCCTCACTGCCTTCCTAGCATGGGTGAGGTGTCCACCAGCTACAGCCCACCCAGTTGCCCCAAAGGGGAACAATTCCAAGCTGGGCAGCTGCCCTCTGGGTGTCACAACTTAACAGGCTTTTCCATAATGACCCTTGTGGTTGACTATACTTTGGTACTTGCCACCCCCCTCCCCTCAGGAACCACATATCCCAGTATTTGTCCTTGTGAAGCGCTCCCTCCGGCGTGGTCTAGGAGTTTGGCCACGTCACTGGCTCCGGCTGATGGGTCAGCAGTAAGCATGATGCAAGCAGAGGTTTGAGAAGCACTTGCAGTGGGGTCTGTCTTCCTGGAAAGTTGGAAGAATGTTCCTTCTTGGAACCCAGCTACCTCGCCATGAGGTGGTGTAAGCAGTCCCACGGGGAGGCGGGAAGAGAACTGAAGCCCCCGGCCAGCACCCCAGCTGAGCTCCCAGATGACAGGGGCTGCCCCAGTGCCCCAGCCGGCACCACATGGAGAGAACCAGCCAGAAAACCCTCAGAATCCCAAGAGAAAAGAAACTGCTATGGTGTTAAGTGGCTAGAGTTTGTGGTGGTTCCTTACGTAGCACTAGGTAACACATACATCCTTTGGCCTCTTGGTCATCAGAGAAGTCCTGGTGAGTGTTGAGAAGCGCCACCTGTAACACTGGCCCACCTGCTCAGGACACCCTGCTGTGCCCCTGGGAAGGCAGGAGCTCTTGCCAGCACCTTAATGAAGGGTGACAGACAGGCCCTCACTTAAGCTCAGGCCACTGCGGAACCCACTCTAAAAGCCGCTTCCTCAAGGAGATATGAACCTAGAAGGCTACGACGCATTGTCTGGATACTAAGACCAGGGGTGCAAAGTCTGAGTAGCAGGGTACTGACATATCCTCAGTGAACCTCTCCATAAGACACGTACTTGCAAAGTGAACCCTGCCTGCCTTAACTAAAAGTTAACCTTGCCAGAAACGGGACTTATGTCCATGGTATTCCTGCCCAAGTGCCTACAGAACCTGAACAGGAGCAAAGAGCAGACGCCCCCAAATCCTGGGACACTGTGCAAACCAACTAGCCAGGACGCTTCAGAAATGTCCACATTCACAAAGACTTGGGGACGGTCCCTGATCACAGGAGACAAAAGGAGCCTGACAGCTGAATGTGACATGCAATCTTGATCTTCTTTTGCTATAAAGGGCAGTATTAGGACAATCAGTGAAATGTGAATTAGGTCTGTACATTAACAGCAAGAGATCAAGGTTAACTTCCCTGATTTTGTCACTGTACAGCAGTTAGGTAAGAACATTCCTAGCTTTTCTTAAGGGTAAAGAGGGCACGGTATCTGCAACTTACTTTTAAATGGTTCAGAAAAAAGTGTGCATGTGCACACACACGTATGTGTACAGGGGGCACAAACGTATGAAATGTTAACATTTAGGGAACTGGGATGAAGGGTACCTGGGAACTCTGTACTCTTTTGTAACTTCTCTGTCAAGACTGAAATTATGTCAAAATTAAAATAAAACATTTCTAAGATACTGTTTGGTGAGTCATTACTTTTGAACCTTTGTTCCAACCACCCAGCTGGCTCCAGAAAGGTCTTCCCTCCAGTCTGAACAGGGCTAGTTACTGCTTTTTGGCTCACACACGCCTCTGAACGTCTGATGAAGTTTCAGGGCCCTCCCCCCAAAAAACATTCACACTCACACACACCTGCCTTTGCACACGACCACAGACCCTGACCTGGGAGCCCAGCAAGGAAAACATGGAAGGTCAGAGTGGGAAGTGAGTCAGCTCTGAGTCCAGGCCGCCTGTCAGGGTCCAGGGGCTTTAGGCCCCAGGGAGAGTTCCTCCCCAACGTCACACACCCCGCAGGCAGGGAGGGGCCGGCGCCAGGACTGGGATCCTGTCCTCTGCTTTCTGTCTGTGCGCCCTGGCACGGACTTACTCATCCTCTCAAGCCCACTTTCTCTTCCCTAAAATTGAGGCAACGGCACAACCACCTCATGGAGTCGCTGGGAGAATTCAGAGCTCAGGAACGGGGCTGATGTTTTTCCTACACCTAGCACCTTGTACCTTGTCTGCTCAATGCTGCCCACCCCCGAGCCCACTGGGCTGGGTGCTGGGTGCTGCTCAGGGCAGCCAGTGGCACAGACAGGAGGCCCCGCCTCAGGCTTACACCCCAGAGGCCCCAGTTGCCAGCTATTCTTGTTTTTCCCAACATCCTCTGAGATCAGGCCTTTGCTTTCCATCCCACCTGGAGCCCACTGCCTTTTGCTAGACATACCTTTGATTTAATGTAGCCTTTAGCCACATTCACTTTAACTAGAATACTAGACATTTTGGGCAAACGTGAACATACGAGCAGTATATCTGCTTTTCAGCCGCCACTCACCCTCACCTGGAAGTTCTCTCTCAAAATGACACGAACTATAAGGTGTCACTCAGAGTGCAGGTCGGTCTGTCTTGAAGCCCTGGAGTTTCACTGTGGAGGAAAGTATGAGAGGGCAGGTCCGGGGACACAGACACACCCGGGGCTGCGTACGGGCTGGGGCTCAAACCGCCTGTCTCCCCCGAGTGTCAGCTCTTCCTCGAGCTCTGGGGTGAAAAAATCCATCACTTTAGCCATAAAACAGACACACTCAGATAGTAGAATATAACATACCTGTAATCCTAAGAACCTAAACCTTAAAGGCCAAGCAGGCGGCAGGTGACAGCCGGCCCCTCCCAGCCTGTTGGGGGTCCCCGCAGGGTCAGGTTGGGGAATACTGGTTTTGACCCTGTGGAAGGGGAGAGGGTGAGGAGGAGCCCAGAAGACTCCTTTTCGGAGGCTGACCATCGCTGCTTTGATCCTGGCACCTGAGTGACTCCGCGTGTCCAGCCCGGGGCCTCATGCGGGAGAGGGGAAAGGGAGCCCCAATCCCAGCCAGGTTAACAGAGATAAGCGACAGGACAGCTGCAGACTCTTCCTGTGGGGGCGACACACATTCCCCTGGAACGAGGGGATTCAAGCTCCCTCTAAGCACAGCCTCCAGAACAGAGATGCCTGTGGTCCACGGAATACCAATGCAAACTTTTAAATGTGCAGAGTTTTCTAGACAGTGTTCAGCCTTTTTTGGATTCTCAAAGGGACTCATGTCCCCAAAAGATAGGAACTACTGCTCTTAATTAAAAAGGGTTTGAAAGCAAACTGATGAGACTGAAGCTCTGGCCATGGGTTGTCACAAGGAAAGATTTTTATTTGAGAACATCAGATACTTCTGGAAATGTTCCTGCTAAATCCAAAAACACCTGACAGTCCAGCTCCAACACTCACAAACCCACCAACAGCCTCGTTCCACAGACAAGATGGGACCGTCCATGGCCGGCTCCCCTCCCACCGCCACTCAGCTACTCCGGCCACAGGAGGGGAGAACGGGATCCCGCCTCCCAGGCCAGGGCCCCGGTGGGGAATGCTCACAGGGGCACAGCTGAGGCGACGTCATACACAAACAACATGACCAAAGTCAGCGAGTGCCCGAGGGGTCCCCCTGGCTTCAGTGACAGCACAGCCAGGCTGGGACGGGCTAGCGTCCCCCGTGTGATCATCTCACCACCCCAGGACAGCACAGTGCCTCTGAAGGAAGCACCGCAGGAACCCTTAACCGTGATCACATTTCTCACACTTTAAACGGGACAGAATATCTCTCCCCAAGAACATCAGTTTGGACCTTCCTGGCTCAACAGGCTGTCGGGCAAAGGACAGCGCACCTGCCAGTCTTAGTTGACCGTGGAGTCCAAGGTGTGGGCAAAGGCCTGTCCAGAAAGGGCTGGACAGTGACTCAGCCGAAGGGGCGCCCACTACTGACACCACTGCCCACGCCGCTCTCAGGTCAGGTGAGATCAGGACCCGCGGTGAAGCGAGCACCTGCTGCTGGGGGTCTACTGACGGCCCTTCTCCGCGAGCATGTGTGCCCTCTGTGAAGGGGTGCACTCACATCAGCGTCGCAGCCGCAGGAAGAACGCATGTTTACACTCTGCGCTCTCCAAGGGGTAATATTTATCGTAAAAATCTAAAACATATTCTTCAGTCTTGAATCCAAACTTCTGGTAGAGCAGCATAGCAGGGTTGCTCGCTGAGACGTGAAGGGTTACGTCCTTGCCCATGCAGGTCTGCCGAAAGAGTGGAAAAACAGAAGGTGAAAATGAAAAAGCCGGAGGGGAAATGAGTGGGTGAAGTAACTTTTAAGTGTAGGCAGTCAGTTACAGAAACCAGAGACACTGGGGTCTGAAGCTGAGACACTGCAGCACCAGCAACAGCAGGAAACCTGACCCTTCTCTGCCGCCACCAAAACACTGCGCCGAAACGTTCAAGACCAAGGAAACAGACGGTAAGCTGGGTGTGTTCTTTTTCTCTTTGGAGCAAAGAGCCAACAGGGATATTTCACTGTCAATTGTTTTATATTCAGTTGCATTTAAATACATCAAGCATATCAATACCAACATCACAACAATCTTGAAGAAACAGAGGACAAGACGAGACATTCTGCTTTTAAAAACTAGACGTCATCCTGCAAGGGAATCGTAAAAATTCCCTGCCTAGACCTTGTAGAAATGTTAAATTATGTAGCCAGATATGAAATATTAAGACTTCTGTTTAATTATATAACTTGAATACCTTATACAGACATTCTGAATCCCAAAGACACTCTCTCATCACTCCCAAACTTCTCAGAACTGAGGTTTCTGCATTTAGCATGGGCCTAATCCTAGGGGAAGAGAGTGATGCTTGCTCCGTCAAGTCTAGGCAAGTTCTTAGATTCTTTAATTAGCTACACAGAAGAAAGTACCCTGAAAGTCACATAAACTCAGAACTTGCTCTTTAATGAGGAGGCACTGAGATCCTGGACTTGATGAGCTCCTGAGATTTTACAATCCCAGGTCAAAGGCAGACAGATACCTTCTCTTCCCTGCTTCCCTCACATTCTGCATCCAAAGGCATTTTTAGGACAAGAAAGAACTACAAGCACACCAAGGACAATAGTCCTCTTTACGCTGCAAGTTGGCACAGTCCCAGCAGCGCCATCGCTGAGCACAGCTGACCGTCTGGGTGGTACTGTGCCTGGGCCGGGGTTTATGGTCTGGCCGGGGGCCAGGCACCCACATACAAAGACGGGCACTCCTCCTCCCAGCCAGGGAGGCTCAGTAAGGATCGAGTGTGCCACCAGAACATCACCCCTGCCCTATCCACTGGCCCTTGCTGGTGAAGGAGGAGGCAGGAGCCCGTGGCCATCCTGCCAGGAGAGGGTGGACAGGGGGAGGTCGGCCCTGCGCACAGGGGTGGTGAGGGCAGGGTGTGGCGGGGATAATGGAGACAGCCTCACACTAACTGCCAAGAGAGGAGAGGGCAACGCAATTCCTCGACGGAGGGTTCTCAAGGTTCTCACCAACATCTGGGAATTACTGAGCAACTTTCATTAAAAACTGGGAAAAAAAAACAACACTGAATCATCTCCATCTTCTATTTAAAAAGAATCTTGCCCACGTGATACACAATGCTCCACACCCAATGGTTTCTAAATAAGCTACCAGATGAATTCTGGGGGGAAAAAAAATCCTTGCATGTTTTTCTGGTGTTAGTATATAAATATATGGTCTATTTTCCTCAAAGGTGATACAGATATATCAAAGAATGAATTACTGAGAAGGTTCACAGCACCAGTAAAATTAAAAACAAGCAGCATTAACAGAATGCACATCCCACTGATTGATAGTCTGGCTAAAATGTTTAAAAATACTTAAGAACTAAAAGTCACTTCTCACTTCCACTTCTCAGAGTCACCGCGGTGGTGATTCCAAGAGCAGCAGCAGTTACGATACGGACGATACAAGCGCTTTAGGCTCCCACTTGTGGTACTTTCCTCATTTCATTTACTACACATGGTCACAAACTGATTTCTTTGAAACCTGGGTCTGAGGAGTGACCCTCTTTTAGAGGGTGAAGGCGTCTCTCTGGGTGTTAATAACCTCGTGAGCGACACAGACCGGCTCCTCTTCACTGGTGTCGCCTCGCGCTGGCCGCCTCCTCCTCCAAGCCTTTCAAGGAAGCCCAGAGGCAGGTGGGCAGACAGTGAGCAGAGACAACATACCTGAATCAGATGATAAATCATGAAAGTCGCGATCCCTGCCCTCCTCCACTCAGGATGGACAAACAGAAATGAGATGTACGCTTCGTTGTACTTCACATCGGGGACCATGAAGCCAAAGGCAACGATGACTTTCTTATAGAGGACAACGACGCTGAAGTCCGGGTACTGCAGGCACTCGGAGAGGTCAACGCCTACGGAGAGAGGCCAGCAGGGTCAGCCCAGGCTCGGGGGCTAGTGAGCAACAGGCCACTCAGTCTGTGCTTTCAGCTGCATCTGCGTGCTAAAACACCCAAACTGGAGACAGAGACATTACCATAGACACCACACATTCAGATCATAAAAATAAAAAAGTGAATTTTAGAAAATATCAAAATTAGCATCGCCTGGTCTACGTACATATGTTAAAAGAAGAGAAGCAGGACAGGGTGGGTAGGAGAGAGCACACAAGCTCAGAACTGGACGCACCTAGCATTGCACTCGGCCTCCGGGGCCGCAAGTGCCAGCTGGCGCATCCCTAAGCGCTGTGCCTCGGTATCTGCCTTGGGTAAGATGAGAGATACCCAGACCCCAGGGGGCTGAGGAAAGATCCCGAGACCACCCGTACACAGACAACTGACAAGCTCTTTAGTACAAATGCCACATTTTACAATAAAGGAGTAAAATATAACATAAATCCATGTTTAACGTTTGGAAGGCACCCAGTGTAGGGGCAGGAAGTAGCAGACACTCGCAGAATGCTCCTTTCAGCCCCATCCCAGCCCCCACCACTTGCACTGTGACATCCTGACAAAATCTCATCCAGCTTCTAGAAGACACATATTATTTCCTTTACATTCCAAAGCAGTGCAGTAAAACAGATCCACAAAGAGCGTGTTTATATTTAGCAATGAAACTGTGTTCCTTTGATCAATGGCTTCAGAGACAATATGTTAAGGCTGATAAAATCACGAACCACGTTGGATTTATTCTTATTTTCAAAGTCTGTGGTTGGGGTATCTGGCTTTTTTCTTTTTTTCTGGTGGTATGCGGGTCTCTCCTGTTGTGGCCTCTCCCGTTGCGGAGCACAGGTCCCGGACGCGCAGGCTCAGCGGCCATGGCTCACGGGCCCAGCCGCTCCGCAGCATGTGGGATCTTCCCGGACCAGGGCACGAACCTGTATCCCCTGCATCGACAGGCAGGCTCTCAACCACTGCGCCACCAGGGAAGCCCAAGGGGTATTTGGCTTTTTAAAAACAACTTTTGGGACTTCTCTGGTGGCGCAGTGGTTGAGAGTCCACCTGCCGATGCAGGGGACACGGGTTCGTGCTCCGGTCCAGGAGGATCCCACATGCTGCGGAGTGGCTGGGCCCGTGAGCCATCGCCGCTGAGCCTGCGCGTCCGGGACCTGTGCTCCGCAACGGGAGAGGCCACAACAGTGAGAGGCCCGCGTACCGCAAAAATAAATAAATAAATCATCAATCAATCAATCTGCCTGCCAATGCAGGGGACACGGGTTCGAGCCCTGGTCTGCGAAGATCCCACATGCCGCTGAGCCCGTGTGCCACAACTACTGAGCCTGCACTCTACAGCCCGTGAGCCACAACTACTGAAGCCCACGCACCTAAAGCCTGTGCTCTGCAACAGGAGAAGCCACTGAAATGAGAAGGCCGCACACCACAACAAAGAGCAGCCCGCATGCGGCAACGAAGACCCAGCACAGCCAGAAATAAATTAATTAATAAAAATAAATAAATAAAAACAACTTTTGGCTGTGCTAACACTCTCAAAAGGACCAGCTAAATAAACAAAGCACACAGAATTATTAAGCAAAAATCACAAATGTCCAAATACGCCCAAGCTACCAGCCTGTGTGGTACTGATGGACATTACCTGGGATCTAGACACATGTGGAAGCAAAAGAGGGTGAATCATTTATTCTGGAACCAGAGACAAACAGGGAAGAAGAACAAACAAAAACACTGCTTATTACTTTAACTGTTGGCTTCTTCTTGACCTTAGGAAAGACAGAGATGTTTATATTTTAATAGTTCTATGTTAGTAGAGACAAACTGAATGAAATCATATAAGGTTTTGGGGGCCACACGACATACACTAATTTTAAAAACTGCTAAAATGAATGACACAGAAAATGGATCTGCCTAGTTCGGGAGAGGAGAACATACCAGGCCAGAAAAACTCCTGACACATGGAGTTTATCGTCGGGATGTGATTTGGCCGGACATAGCAGTAATCAAGAGGTGCGTCCGGCTCTGGCGTCCAGTGAGGGTCACTCCTGTGCAGGTGGGAACGAATCTGGGACAGCAGCTGCAGTTTGGGTGGCTTTGTTTCATAATCACGCCTCCAGAACCCAGAAAATAAACAAACTGAAGTCAAGAAAAATACCCATTATTCCCAGCCATTTGATTCACAAAACTCTTTGATCTGCTTGAAATTTTAAATTAATTTGCACTACTTTATACGGCAGCTGACTTAACAGCTACAATACACTTCTCGTATGAAATTTAAAATTCATTCTATCAACATTCGTCAGACCCAACCCCTCAGTACCTGCCAGGAACTCTACTAGTGCTGGTAAGCCTTGACGACCAGAATGGGGAAACAGAAACAGCATCCTAATTCAACGCTCTGAGTGCTGGGTCACAGGACAGAGCCCAGGAGAGGAAGGCCCAACCCTGCCAGGACAGCTGGGGACCAGGAGCTGGAGGAGGCTTGCATGCTGCTTCCCCGCGTCTGCCCGGGAGGGTGGGGCTGTGCCAGGTGGACCACATGACTGGGGGCTGCAGAGCAAGCATGGTCAGCAGAGACAACTATCAATCACGCACAGCCCAGCGCTGGGGCCTCTCCAGCCAGCTCGGCGTCCAGGGCGCTGCCTACACAAGAAGACTCATCAGCAGTCCACATACAGGCCCGACTGAGACATCATCCCATTTTTTCATTTCACAGACTAAATATATATACAACTTTGAAATTTAAAACAAAACAATGAGTATGATAATCATAATGAAATCTAACAGAGTTAACTTATCCTTGCCTTTTATGTTTCATTCAAAGGACCATCCTTTCTGCAAAAATGTACAGTTGAAACAAGCCAAGGATGAGACTGGACAGAGCACAGACTCGGTCCTTGCTGATGCCGGCTCACAGGTCTTGGTCTTTATGCGTTCCAATGGGGGAACACGGCTTGAAAACCACTAACATTACTCCCCGCGACACACTCGACATCACAGCTCTTCTCTGTATACCTGATGTAAGGCTTTAGGATCCGAGAAGTGTAAGGGCTGACAATGCTCTGGTCCACAGCCATATCTTCCGACCCCACCAAACGGTACAAAAACTTCGTGGTCTGGTGCCGAAATCCTTTCCTGGTTGGCAAGGCAGTCTATGAGAAAGACATGCTAGTTATATAAAAATAAAATTACTCAAAGGATTGGTTTAATTTCCACAGATAAGTAGTACTTTCAACATTTTTATGTGTCAGAAAGTAAGTCTTTCCACAGGACTTAACTGGAAAGCTCAAGGTTCAATACAAACTTCATAGGTACCTTCACATAAAAGTGGATATGAAAAACTAATCCCGGTTTAATAGTTTAAAAGCAAAATAACTTTTAAAATTTTAAAGTTTTGTAAAGATTTTAAAAGAGATTTAGACAGGTCAAATGCAGAATTGATCCCTGGATTTACAGCCTCTCCAGGTTTCATGTTGTCTATAAAGGCACAGTCAATCCACTCATCAGATGTTCACCAGTCCAAGCATCAGAGGGGAGGGGTAACACACATAGGCCTCCTGTCTCATGTGTGGTCTCTGTTATCACAGGGGCATGGGGGTCAATCACTGCTGCATCTGTATGTGGATCTATTACAATATGTCTCTACCAAGTAAATCTGACAAAAGTAGGACTGATGCGGATTATCATCCCTAAAACGCAGCATGAGTGGAGAGGCCCGACCAGAGGGTCAAGGGGGACGCAGTCCTGCTCCTCCAGAGGATGTCCCCACAGAAGGGCTGCAGACGTCTGCTCTCCAGACACTGCTGCTCCAGGGCCCTCGGTCATGTCGTACCAGAACATGAAAATTAGGGTTTTATAGCAAAGAGCTCAGATGGAAAGATTAAAAGGCACATTTATAAAGTGGTTTGCCAAGGGTTCGATGAAGTTTAGAAACCTGAGTTGTTTTTGTAGAAACAGCTTGCTCTTAGCATAGAAAATAACTTTGTTGGAAGAAGAGCAAGAACTCTTTCCTTAATAATTTGCTCTGATTACTTTCCCAAACCGGACACCAAAACTTTCAAAGGCCAACTCTGAAATTCTTCCAGGACTTTGCATTTCAAAGTGAAATTCAAAGTTGTGGTATACAGTTTCCAAATATGGCCCAATGCTTCCTCCTGTGCCTGAAGGTGCAAGTGTCTCCCCACATGGAAAGGCGGAGTCAATGTCCCCTCCCCTGGAATCTGGCGAGCCTGGGAGAGGCTGGACCAGTCAGAACATGGCATAAAGTAACATTCTGGGACTTCTGAGCCCAGGCCATAAGGGAGCCGGCGGCTTCCACTTCCTCCCTCTTCGAGCCCAGCTGCCACGGTGCCCAGGCGCAACCACTGAAGGGCTGGCGGCCACACGGAGACAGGCTCTGGAGGACCCAGCTCCCAGCTGAGTGGAGCCACAGGGTGCCCCTTTCTTCAGCACATGAAGAACACCCAGCTGAGCCAGTCAACCCACAGACTCAGAAGAAGAATTAAATAGTTACTGTTTTGTGTGTGTGCGTGGTACGCGGGCCTCTCACTGCTGTGGCCTCTCCCGCTGCGGAGCACAGGCTCCGGACGCGCAGGCTCAGCGGCCATGGCTCACGGGCCCAGCTGCTCCGCGGCATGTGGGATCTTCCCGGACCGGGGCACGAACCTGTGTCCCCTGCATCGGCAGGCGGACTCCCAACCACTGTGCCACCAGGGAAGCCCAATAGTTACTGTTTTAAGTCACTAAGTTTTGGGCTGGTTTGTAACGCAGCAGAGATTACAGCAGCCCCTGAGCCCATGAAACAGCATCAGGTTAAATGGGAAGGTGAGGTCTGTGAAAGCCCTGGATGCACAGTCCCCACCCCTTTCCCCTCCCTTGCTTCCACACCAGTTTAAACATCCTCAGCTTCTGCCTGGAACACTACTCTAGAATCTACTCCTGGTGAAGGTGCTGTGAAAACTGTTGAAATGACAACAAAGGACTTAGAATATTGCAACTTAGTTGACAAAGCAGCAGCTGCAGGGTTTAAGACGACTGACTCCAATTTTGAAAGAAGTTCTAACTGGATAAAATGCTATCCAACAGCACTTCATGCTACAGAGAAATTGTTCATGAAAGGAAGGGTCAATCAGTAAGGCAGACTTCACTGTTGACTGATTTTAAGAAACTGCCACAGTCACTATGATCAGTCCACAGCCATCAACATCAAGGCAAGACTCTCCACCAGCAAAAAGATTACAACTCACTGAAGGCTCACATGATGGTTAGTATTTTTTAGGAATAAAGTATCTTTTTTAAAAAAGAATAAATTTATTTCTTTTATTTATTTTTATTTTTGGCTGCACTGGGTCTTCATTGCTGCATGAAGGCTTTTCTCTATTTGTGGCAAGCAGGGGTTACTCTTTGTTGTGGTGTACAGACTTCTCATTGCGGTGGCTTCTCTTCTTGCAGAGCATGGGCTCTAGGCACACGGGCTTCAGTAGTTGTGGCGCAAGGGCTTAGCCCTGCACCAGGGCTCGAACCCGTGACCCCTGCATTGGCAGGCGGATTCTTGACCACTGCACCTCCAGGGGAGCCCCCGGAATACGGGATCTTTTAATTAAGGTATATATTGGATTTTTAGAGATAATACTATTACACACCTGTTAGACTACACTATACTGTAAACATAACTTTTACATGCATTGGGAAACCAAAATATTCACGTGACCCTCTCTGTTGCAATATTTGCTTTAATGAAGTGGTCTGGAACTGAACCCGAAATACCTCTGAGGTCTGCCTGTAAGCACTCAACAAACAATGTTAAGGATAGGTCTCTTCAAAAAACCAAATGAAAAGATAAAGAAGTAATGGCGTCAACATTCATATTAGGAGTCCAGAAGGGGAGGAAAAAAAATAAAGGAGGAATGTATTTAAAGAGCATGATGAGGAATTTCCCAAAATAAAGAAGCATGAGTTTCCCTTCTGGTTCCAGTCCTGCACGTAAGGAGCTCGGAAGTCCTCACTCCACCATGACAAGGAAAAGGCTGCACAAGCTGAAAATCAACAACTCTTCTCCGACCCATCAGAGAAGTAAGGTCACAGGGCAAACCACCGCCTCGCAGACTGGAGACAGACAAGTGGATACAGAGGTTCACAACCTACTGGAGTAAGAAGCCTCGGGAAGCAGTGCCGGGAGGGAAAACCTTACCTGCAATTGATGAACTGCTGGAGGCTCAGCGGGGACAAGTCTGAGAGAACAGAGACCAGGGAGGCCCCACACTTGCATGAGTTCTACCTCTAGGAGGCTCTACCAGGTGCTCACTGTGAAGATCAAAGAAACATCTCCTCCTGCTGCCACTGGCAGCAGCTCATTTTGAACTGTCAGGGCATCTGTGCTCCTTAACAAGGCTGCCCTCAGGCAAAACTCTTCTGCCAGAGCCTAACCTACCTGAGGGAAGGGAATAGCCAGCCCCTGCCCCCTCTAGCCACCCTGTCCCACCTAACTGGGGAGGAAAACTGAGAAGCCCTTGTGGAGTCTCAGCCCAGGGGCACACGCTCACTTAGAGACCGAGGACCAATCCGAGGACTGTAGAACACCTCCCCACCACATCACTAATGGCCTATTCCCACAGTGCCTTGTACCCAGGACACCATCCTTGGCTGTCAACAAAAAATTACAAGGCAAGGGCTTCCCTGGTGGCGCAGTGGTTGAGAGTCCGCCTGCTGATGCAGGGGACGCGGGTTCGTGCCCCGGTCCGGGAGGATCCCACGTGCCGCGGAGCGGCTGGGCCCGTGAGACATGGCCGCTGGGCCTGCGCGTCCGGAGCCTGTGCTCCGCAGCGGGAGAGGTCGCGGCGGTGAGAGGCCCGCGTATCGCAAAAAAAAAAAACAAAAAAATTTAAAAAATTACAAGGCAAGCTAAAAGGCAAAAACACAGTTTGAAGAGACAGAAGCATCAGAACCAGACTCATATATGGCAGAGATGTTGGAATTACTGAACTGGGAATAACTATGATTAGCATGTTAAGGGCTCTAATGAACAAAGTAGAGGACATGAAAGAACAGATGGGTAATTTAAGCAGAGATGGAATTTCTAAGAAAGAATAAAAAAGAAATGTTAAGATTAAAACCACTGTAGCAGAAATGAAGAACGGCTTTGATGGGCTCATTGGTAGACCGGACGTGGCTGAGGAAAGACTTCTTGAGCTTGAAGACATGTCAACAGAAAAGCTGCCAAAACTGAAAAGCAAAGGGAAGAAAGACAGAACGGAACAGAATATCCAAAAACTGTGGTAAAACTACAAAACGTGTCATATATGTATAATGGAAATAGCAGAAGGAGGAAAAAGGAACAGAAGAAACACCTGAAGCAATAACAACTGAGAATTCCCCCAAGTTAATGAGACACCAAACCAAAACCACAGTCCCAAGGAGCTCACAGAACAAGGAGGATAAACGCCAAGAAGCATGTCAGACATGTGTAACTGAAAAAGAAGAGGTGCCAAGCAAGATAAATGAGAGCAAAAAACACTTGAAACGCATGAACACAAGTCAAGATCAAAAACAAAGAGAAAACTCGGAAAGCTTCCAGGACATGGGACAATAAAAAAGGAGGCCACCTACAAAGAAACAAGAGTAAGCCTGACATTGTGGCTCCAGGAACGACACCACAGCAAGACGATGATGGAGTAATAATGCTAAAACGTTAAAAGAAAAAACAAAATGACAATTTTATATCCAACTATGTTAGCATTTAAATGCAAGAGTGAAGTGAAGATCTTCTGAGGCATACTGGTTTAAAAATTAACCTCAGGGCTTCCCTGGTGGCGCAGTGGTTGAGAGTCCGCCTGCCGATGCAGGGGACATGGGTTTGTGCCCCGGTCTAGGAAGATCCCACATGCCGCGGAGTGGCTAGGCCCGTGAGCCATGACCGTTGAGCCTGCGCATCCGGAGCCTGTGCTCCGCAACGGGAGAGGCCGCAACAGTGAGAGGCCCGCGTACAGCAAAAAAAAAAAAAAAAAAAAAAAATTAACCTCAAAAAGACCATATTTTAAAGAACTATCAGAGGAAGTACTCTAGCAAGAAGTTAACCCAGAAGAAGCAATGGGAAGTGAGACTGAGTGAACACTTTAGTGAGATTTACTGGTACCTAAACAAGCAGCACAAAAGAAAAAAGGCAAAGGAGAGCACGCAAAAGGTATTTTTTTGTTTGCAGGGTGAAGAGCACATGATAATATTAAAAAATTAAGAGAATAATCAATACATGTCTTAAGTTAGGACCTATAAAAAGAATAAAAATAGAACATACAATTTTCTTTATAGAAAAGATTCAACATCACATAGACTATTTTCTTTGACTGCAATATAATTTGACTAGAAATTACATCAATTACTAAAAGACACTGTAAAAATTCTCATGTATCTAAGAAAACTACGAGTAATTTACCACTAAATAACTCTTGGGTTAAAGAGAAAATGCTGAGAAAAATTACAAAACACAAAGTACTGACTGATAAAAAATCACATCATTTCAAAGGTCATGAGTCATGGCTAAAATATCATAGAGACAGTTATAGCTATGGATATATTGATCGGGAGACAAGAAAGAGAA